AAAAAAAAAAAAAATCCATGTGTGAGGTCAAGGGATAGCGCAAGGTCCTGAGTTCGATTCTTAGTACCAGGAAAAAAAAAAAAAGAAAAAAAAAGAAAAGAAAATATGTTGAACTCAAAAGTCCAAAACAAACAAACTTGTACATTGGGAGGGAAGGGGGCTTGAGGGAGGGAATGTGATAAAATTTATTTTTAAAAAAAGTTGGGGCCAGGGATTTACCTCAGTGGTGCTGCCACCTGCCTCACAAGCTCAAGGTGTTGAGTTTGATCACCGGTACCAAATAAATAAATAAATAGAAATGAAATGAAATGAAATGTTATAATTCCAAAATAGATCAATGGTAGGAACAGGGTATTTAATGGGAGCAAAGTTAAGTAGTAAAACTGAAATGCTTTGTTGAAGCTGAATGAGCTTCAGCAGCTACAGCAGCAACGGGACACCTACAAGAGGGCAGAAAGACTGATGAGACTAAAGACTCACAAAGTGCAAAGCCAGCATAAATGATACCATTATTTAGAATTATGCATATATATAAATACACATAAAGTACTCAGAAAAAATATTGTACAAAAATTAGCCAATGAGTACTTTTATTTCATCTGTACTACTGAATTGTTGTAAATGCTGGCAATAAATGTGAATCATTTTAAGTAACTGTTACTTTCAATTTTTAAAATGTAATTTTTAGGGCAGGGGATTTAGTGGTGCCGCCACCTGCCTCGCAAGTACAAGATCCTGAGTTTAATCCCCATACCAAAAACAAAAAAACAATATTGTTATCACCTACTAAAATCCCTGTACACTAGGTATAGTATGGATACATTGTCTCTAATATGCAAAACAACAATACAATGTAATTTTAATTATCTGCATTTTAAAAAGCACACACATTTCTCTCTAATTGCTACCAACATTTTTGTTGTTAGTTTGAGACAGGGTCTCACTATGTAGTTCAGGCTGGTCTTAAACTTACTATGTAGCCCAGGCTAGCCTCAAACTCATGGCAATCCTCCTGTTTCAGCCTCCTAAATGCTGAATTACAAGTGTGGGCCACCACACCTGGCTGCTACCAACTTTAAAACATTCAAGATATGAGGTCAAAAAGGTAATATCTTTTTATATAAATGGGGAGTAATAACTAAATACTACATGTTACACTAGACATTTCACATTGAATGATTTTTTTCCTTTTAAGAATCCTATAAGTTATTTTTCTCCTCAATTTATTTAAGAAAATTAAGTTTCAGTTACTAAGTAGCAGAGCTAAAATGAAGATCATAAAATTATTCCAGATCCCATGCTTTTTACGACAATATCAAGTTGCAACAGAGAAGCTTCCTAGTATATTTTAATGAATAATAATTACTCTGGTTAACACTGCCAACAACACAAGTTGACAAGTCACAAGACAAATGGTAAATTCTATGTGAACTGTGCATGCAACTATATAGCATAATAGTTTTATTTTTTTCAGTATTTCCACAATCACACACACACAAAAGCTGAAAAACCTATAGCTTAGCATAACCTATTTATTACTCCCACTACAGATACAGCCAAGTGTATGCTGACCAATAGCATCAATGAGCACCAGGAATAGAAATAATTATTTCTGTCATCACTATAACCAAGAAGGATATATCACTTCATTAATTCAATTCACATTACACTACCAAAATTTTTAACAAAGAATTCTTCCCACTACCCCATTTGTATCCTTACCTAAAGATTTGCAGACTGAAATGGTTGCTTCTTCTAAGAGTTTCAACTCAGTGCTGGAGAAACAAAATAAGAAAATAATTTATATGTTGACAAATGTGAACACACTAACTAGTCAAAGCAGTATATTAATATGAGAAAAATAAATTAAAAGAAAAAATGGCACGCAAGGCAAACAATAAAATTAGCATTATAGAATAAAGCTACAGTTTCTGATGAATGCAGTAAGGAAATTTACTATAGTTCTCAATATAAAATTGCTAAAATAGAAGAGATTGAGGTGCCCTGTTTTTCAGGTACTAGGGTGGGAAGAGGAATACAAATCTGAGAAAGGCACTCCTAAGTAGAGAACATAAAGGGCCCCACATGCCCAATTCTAGAAGAGTAATGATAATGGAATTACAATTATTTATAAAAATGTCATTATTTTTTAGGAAATAAAGTATCATGGTGTCTGCAATACAAAAACAAAAGGAAGAAAAGAGAATACATATGTAAATTTCAATGGTTCACAAATGTAGGTGGAAAAAAGATGCACAGATAGATACAGAGACAGATACAAACTGACACTGAGACAGGAGACAATGACAGAGATGGAAAAAACTCAGAAAACCAAAGGGAAAGCTTTATGACATTTGAATTTGGCAATGACTTCTTGGATATGACACCAAAAGTACAGTGATCAAAAGAGAAAACAGATAAACTGGACTTTATCAAAATTAAAAATTTCTGTGCAAAAAATCAACAGATCAAATCAACAGAGTAAGCCAGGTGTGGTGGTGCACACCTGTAATCCCATCATTGGGAGGCTGAGGCAGGAGGATTTCTGTGAGTTTGAGGCCAGCCTGGGCTACATAGTGAGGTTAAGGCCAGCCTGAACTATACACTAAGACCCTGCCTCAAAAAATAAAAACAGAGTAAAAATCCAATGAACCCAAATGACAGATAAAAATGTTTGCAAATCATATTATATGTTAGGGGGTTGATATCCAGAATATACTTTTTAAAAGTATATTCTACAACTACAACAAAAGAAACCAACCACCCAATTTAGAAAGGTAGCTAGGCATGTTACCATGTGCATACCATCTTAGCTACTCAGGAGGCTTGAGGTGGGAAGACCACTTGAGCTCACCAGTTTGATATCAGTTTGGGCAATATAGCAAGACTATCTCACATACACACAAAAAAAAGCAGTGGACTTGGTCATTTTTTTCAAAGAGTATGTGCAAATGATCAATAAGCACATGGAAAGATGCTCAATAAATCCAATGACACCAACTGGATGTCTATTTTCTTCACATCCATTAGGATGGTGTTATGGTTTAAATATGAAGACCTTGCCAAAGACTTGCTGTGATGGCCTGAGTGCAAATACAGCAATGTTCAGAGGTGGGGCCCACCGGGGTGACTGGATAATGAGGGCACAAAGACATCAATGGATTAGGTCACTGATAGGTTCCTTAGCTGAATGGGCTGCTGGGGCCTAGCCAGAGGAATTGGGTCACTACAGGTGTCCCTTTCGAAGGGTCTATTCTCTTCTTAGGCTCTCTTCCTGCTCTCTGCTTCCTGGCTGCCATGAGGTGAGCAGCTTTCCTCCACTATGTCACCTCTGCTTCAGAGCCAACTGGAAGATGTGTATGTCAGGTATTTGGCCCAGCAACAGAGAGGTGACTAATATATATGGCAATTAATCAAAAAAAACAAAAAGCCCACAGAAAGTAGCATGTGTTGTCAAGTGTGTGAGGAAACTGAAACCTCTGCAAATCACTAGTAGGCAACGTAAAATGATGAAGCCATTGTAGAAAATAGTATGTGGTTCAAAAAATTAAACACTTCCACATGATCCAAAATTTCCACTTCTGAGTATGTACCCCAAAGAAGTAAAAGCAGCATCCTGAAGAGATATCTGTACACCCATCTTCATATCTTCACACGTCATCTTCATAGCTGCATTACTCATAACATCCAAAAGGTGGAAGCAATCAAAGTTCCACCAAGAGATGGACAAAGTGAGGTACATATATAGAATGAAATATTGACCATTAAAAAGAAGGAAATTCTGCCACATGCTATACCATGGATGAAGCTTTAAGGACAGTATGCTAAGTAAAATAAGCTAGTCACAAAAAGATAAATATTGCACATACCATCTTATATGTGGTACTCAGAGTGATTAAGTTTTTAGAAAAATAAGTAAAATAGCTTTTGGCTGCTGGCTAGGCCCTGACAACCCATTCAGCTAAGGAATTTATCAGTGACCTAATCCACTGATGTCACTGTGCTGGAATTATCCAATCACCTCTGTAGGCCCCACCTCTGAACATCGCTGTATTTGGGCTCAGGCCCCTACAACATGAGTCTTTGCTGAAGCCTTCATATTTAAAGAGCCCTGGGAAGAGGGAAAAAGACACTTGGTGATTAGTAGATACAGAGTTTCAGCTAAAGAATATGAAAACTTTCCAGAGATAGATGGTGATAGTTACAAAACAGTGTGAATATACTTAATGCCACAGAAGTGTATACTTAAAAGTGGTTAAAAATGATAAAGTTATGTGTATTTCACCCTAATTGGAGGCTCCTTGCTCATTACAGCACTCTCAAAATGGTACAAACCAGGAGATACTGCCTTCTCACAGTTTAAATACTTACCAGATATGTGACCTTGGACTGGTTTCCTAACCCCAATGTCTTAGGCTCCTCATACATAAAACAGAGATAATAGTACCCTCTTGAGCTTGTTGTTATGATTAAATTACATAACATGTATAATATACTTAGAACATTCCTTGGCACAAAATAAACTCTCAACAAATGACAGCAACTGTTAATTCCAAAATGTAGTGGGGGGAGAGGTCCCAGTTAAATTAAAAAAATGCCTTATATTTGTAGAGCCCTGTAAATATCTTTCAAAGAGCTTTCAAGTTTATAACTGCATTTAAAGCCTATAAAAATCTCTTCTAATGAGCAAGACCATTATTTGCTTTATTTTTATAGATAAGCAAACTGAAGCTCCCAAGATTTTAAGTAACATTCCAGGAATCAGAGGTCTAAGAAAAACAAGAACCAGCTTTCAAGATTGGTGATTCAGTTAAGAATCACATGTCTTTTTCTGCCACACATAACACAGCAAATCCTCCAAACAGCAACACTTCCACAGATGGATTAAAAATCTCTAGCCTCCAGGGTTCTCCACTGCCCTGATAAAGTACACTTTTTAAAAGAGCCATATATAAGCTTAATGAAGGTTTTGACAAGGAAATTTTAGAAAAACTAAGGAAGAAAATGGATTGCTTTTAAACAGTTCTAAAACTAATATGGTAACCACTGAACTATCAGTAACTAACTTCTGATAATTTCAAATGTGACTATTTCAAATCGACACGTGCTGTAACAAAATATATATGAATTTCAAAAATTCAAGAAAAATAGAAATACTTCAATCTTAATTTTATATTCATGGAATAATACTTTAAGTAAAATTAATTTCAACTTTTGGACTTCAACTTTTTCAGTGTAACTTCTAGAAAACTTTCAATTACATGTGACTCAGATTATGTTTCTATTGAACAGAGATACTCTCCAGGACTGAAGATAGTATCATATTTAAGAAATAATATGACCAGGGATTTAGCTCAGTGGTGTTGGTGCCTGCCTTGCAAGTGCAAGACCCTGAGGTTCAATTCCCCAGTACCAAAAATAAGAGTAAGAGATATTATCACACACAAACAAAACCAAAACTCACTAACAAGTGCATATCATTACCTTAAGAATCTCAAATTATACTAATATTAAAAAAATAAATATAATCTTTTCCAAAAGATTGAATATTCTTGGACAAGATAATCTAGAAATACTCCCAGGCTAGTTTATGGGTGTCTAGTATTTATCACTGTATTTGATGTTTTTTAGAGTATCTGCAGCCTCATGATATCTCTCTGCTGTCCGTCTTGCTCTCTCCCACTTTTTTCTATTGTCTCATACACACTTCAGAGATGAGCAGAAGTGGACAGATTTGTTCAGCATGACCCAACCTATGGCCACACGACTGAATCAGGATAGAGAGCCTAAGGTAAATGTCTTGGGGAATTTGGAACTGAGACAGAAAGACAGGATTTCCATAAGGTTGGAATTTGGCTGCAAAGCTGAGGAATACGGGAGGCCATCCTCTACTTACAGCAAAGCAGAGAAAGCCAGTTCAAAGAGAAAGATGAAAAAAATAGTTCTGTAGAAATAAACAGACAAACAGAAATGACTTTCAGGATTCTCGCAGGTCTTCCAGTTCTCAGTTCCAGTTCTCCCTGAAGCCTAGTTGTGTTTCTAAAATGTCGGATTCTGTAAGACACCTATCTCTTTATCACATATTCCCCTTTCTCTGGCATAGGCTAAGTCAAATTGATTTTTGTTAATAACCAAAGACTTCTAATTAATATTTTAACACTGTGATCAGATTTAATAACACACATTAGTAGCTGGCAGGAAGTAGGAACCATTAATTAATTAGTTTTTCAGTTACTCAGGCAAAAAAAAAAAGAGGCATAAAATGCAAGGCACTGTAAAGAGCTTTATGGGATTAATAACTGATCACATGCATAAAATCTGTTCACTGCACTTCTACTTTCTTCATTAAATGACACACTCTTTTATAATGAGGACCATGAGCTTCCATTACATACACTTGGCTATAACCTTCCAAAGCTGCTAAATCTGGTTCATTCAGCAAATAGTGTCTGGGAACCTAAAATATGCAGGGCTCTGCAAAAAAATGCTCCCTCTGCCTCCAGGACACATGAAAAATGAAGAAGCCAGACTGTAGGGTGCAGAGGAAAGTATAAAGATCAAGAGCAGCCCTGTGAATTAGCTCAGAGAATGTACACCTAACCTACACTAGGTGGCGTCAGGGAAGGCATCCTGGAGGAAGTTAATATTCTCTTCTAAAGGGTGAAAAAGACGTCAGCCAGGCAGACAAAAGGGAATAGTGTACACAGCGGCATGGCAGTCACAGGAACCTTGGCATGTTCTTAAACGTGGTGGTCAAATAACAGGGCAATGGCAA